GGTATTATAATGATGTTAACATAATCAGCAACAAACAAAAACTGTGTTGAGAGCTAACTTGTTAAAGCCACCACATTAAAGCTGTCTTTGGAATTACTCCCTCCAGCTCATCTATTCCCCCATCACTATTTAAAAGTTTGTTTGTTTTAAATATTTCAAGAGATTACCACTTCTCAGCTGTTTACTAACTCCCATCACTAATAGCCACCCATTTCTATCTCAAGATCATAGCTCTATCAGAAGTTTTCAGACAGCATACTAAATTTATAGCCTCCTGGGACATAAGGTCTCTTAACGCAAATCCATCCAAGATAGGCTGGTTGTTTTTATTCTAACAAGCATTCCTCTTACTCACACCACAGAGGACAGCAAGCCCCATTGGAATGTGTGTGAAGGACAGATCAGAGAAAGCTATATATTTCCTATCTCGGTTCTTTTGTTCCAACACATGCTTAAGTAAATTCTTCACATGTAAGTTCTGGATGAGACAATAACCATCACTTGGTAATTAAATGCGGCTCTGAGTCACACTACTCCGGAAGTCCTCTATACACCAGAATAAAGACATTTGAGAAAATAATTTCAGGAGAATCCTGTCTCTTTAAAACCCTTTCTCGAGGTTAAAAACCCAACCTTGAGGAAAAGCAAGTACTTTAAAATAATAATTTAGGGCATGATTTTAAGAAAACATTAGCAGTGTTTTTGAAGTCACGGTAGCAAAAAGATAAGCTATAAAACCTGCAAAAACACCCCAACAAGTTATATTTGAAAAGAACTTCTGAATCTCATTGCATTCAGTGTAACGACAGTCCAGGATAGAAAAGGGCAAGAAGTGGAAGGAAAGAGGAACACGGAATCTAGCAAAAAAAAATTATGGGAGCAACCACCAGCACAGTTCCTTAAAATAAAATCAGGTGCCCTAATAAACATTTAAATATTACTCCTGTCTTTTAACAGTACGCGAACATAGGCACCCATGCACTGCATGAGCTCCTTCGAAACATTTAAAAAGCTCAACACCACAATTTGTAAGCGGGCACAATCTCCAACAGCCTGTATGGCAACAATTAATCTCATGCTTTGTACTGCACTCTGCCTTTACAGTAATGGGAGTACTTCTGATACCTAAAGCACATGCCTGTTATATGACTTCAAGTCATACTGAAATTCCACACATTCCAGCTAGTCTTTTTCTTCCCTGTGCACATGGTACTTTTTAAAGGCAAGCATCCCAGATCAAGTAAAACCAAACAACCTGACAAGCTGCTACAAGTTTTGTCCAAACCTGTAATCATAACATTCTTTCAAATGAACAGTTTCATCTTACCTAATGCTAAACAAGCCTACAAGTGAGAAGAAACCAGGACAACACTAGATTGCTAACAAAATGTTTTTCATGACCTCTGGACAGAGGTAATTACTAATTGTCCTGGGGAGACAGGGCGGAGAGAACGTCGATAAAACTAGTGGAGCAATTATCATAATTTCAAATGAAAGTTAAATACAAAGGACAATTTTGATCAGAAATGATCAGACTGCACAAAATTTGTATGATTACGTTCTGCTTTTTCTCTTCTTTTGTAACCACATCCACCAAGGCCTTGCTCTCAACCCTGCCCTAAGGGCTGGGGAAAATTATCTTAGCATCTGAGAAAAATCAGGATACATTTTACATGACTCTGTTATGACCTTTTTTTGGCTTGTATGACAAAGAATGAGTCAGTCACAGGTAATCTCTCATGGTTAAAGAAGGTTGTAGGAACAAGGCTATGATGGACATGGGTTTAAAAAAAAAAGAAGAAAGGAATGTGAACTTTGGGATAGAAAATCCACTGTGAAGCCCACTTAAAGTCAAACTAAATAACTACACCTTAAATGCTCCATTAATTATGTCGTCTGAATAGAACCTAAAAAAAAAGTGTCAAAATATTTTACTAACATCTTACCCCATTAAGTTCCTTCCACTGAAGTGACAAAAAACTGTTTCCCATCCATCCGTTCATATTCCACTACTTCACACATTCCCTTAATAGTTTTTATCTTGTTAGTATAATGTAATAACAACTATCCAGTCAAAAGCTTTAAAGTCTTTACACCCATATATCTAGAGACCTATGAGTGAAAAGAATAGAAATGGAAGCCTGGGTATGAAGAAAATAAAACCAAACAAGAACAAAACAGAAAATCTCTTGCTGCTCTTCAGTTCTGTAAGAGCAGAAAAAAGGAATCTGCTGTTGCAAGACATATAGTAGCATGTGCATGCAGAACTGCACTCCTAGTTCTCCCAACTGATATATAGTTCCATGACGCTTTATATTCTGAAGAAATTTCTGCTTCAGCTCAGCTGACAGTTTAAGTTCCATTCACATTGCCTGAAATAATAAATCTACTGTAACTCTACCTAATATTTTTCTACAGATGTCTACAAGTAAAGTCTTCAGTAAACACAAGTTACATAAAGGGTTAACCTGTTAGAAGTAACACTCAGCATAACTAGTTAGTTCAGCTGTGAGTCAGCAATGCCTGTCCAGAACTGCAAAGAGGAGACCCTTTCACACAGACCAGCAGCTTCCAGTAAGTCTCTTATTTTACCATCTCCTCCGCTCCCACCGCCACTCATCTTGAATCTTCCTCATACCTTGAATTTGGCAATTTGTCACAGAAGCAGTTTCACTGCACAAGATATGTTTCTACAAACACTTTGGATTGCTCAAATGTTTAATTAGATTGCCCCCTGAACTGACAAATCAACTCTAAAGATTCTTGAAAGCGTTTGAAGCCAAAGACACAACAACAAATTATACCATATCAAAAAGGAGCTTTAATGATAGCTCTTAACAGCTGTGCAACTTCTACCCCAGTATAACTAAAAGTTCCCAAATGGGGGAACAAGTGATTAACCAAGACGCATCAGCTATGTTTCTCAACAACTCACTAAGCCAAGCCTCGTTCTATGCTGTGACAATTTGTAGATAACCATATTTACGCAGCACTTGTCAGTCCTACAATACTTTCATGAATGCACACACAAACAGCACACAGCAACACACTACAGCCTAGCAGAAAAGAGCATTGTATACATCTGAAGATAAGGAGTGCTCAGGTAGTCTAGATCAGGGACTTTGGACTTTAGGTCTTGTCTGAAAATCAGCACCTCCAGCAGCAAAATTGCCACTATTGTACTCAGCACTGATAAAGTATCAGCTCTGAAGAGACCCACCTAATGAGTCATTTCCGGGAATACCTTAATTTCCTAATATTCCATTTCAGATGCTTGATAAACTTAGCTATGTTACCTGTTCCAATCAAGTAGATTTGCAGCCCACAAAGATACAACTTAAATCCATAAAAACAACATTATTGTGAGAGAGGAAAAACACCTATTTCTGTAAAATATTTCCACTTTTTCCTTTTTTTAAACCTATCCACACAACTGAATCATACCTAGTCTCTTATCTTTCATCTCTGTAACAGAACATCCTTTTCTCTGACCATAAGAAAAGCAGTTTTGTCCTGCTTGCATCCATTCAAAGTGCTGCTACAAGCTTCCTTTTCCTGAACAGTTACTCCTGTCGATTCCCAACATGGGCATCCCTTTCCGTCTGCCATCAAGCATAAACTGCTTGTTCCCAATTCAGGACTACAAACATTAAGGAACAGCAGCTTTTTGTTCTACGTTTGCACAGTTTCTAGCTTCTCCCACTCATAAGACCTTTAAACACGACAGTAACCACGTAAAGATGGCATATTGTATAAGAATGAGGAAACTTCCCCTCTTTTTTGTCCTGTTAGAAATTGCGTTTTCATTTGAAATCCATTAATTCTTCCAACTAGTACAACACTGATTTACTCTTCAGAGAAGGGCATGCTCCGTTTCTGCAGTCAAAGAAATGGGCACATCAAGTGAGGTATCTCTCCGATACACATTACGATCCTACAGTTAACACGTTCTAAGTCACTACCATAAACACTGAGTACTGCTTATAAAGTCATTCCAAAGCTCCCCAGCATTTCCAGTATACTGTGCCATGCAACTCTACATAATGCATAAGATGCTACATATAATGCCCAGCGCTGTAAGATACCCATGACTCAACCATGCTGAAATCCACAGTACCTTGAGGGTAAAGTTGACAGCAGTTCTGACTTTAGCAACTAAATACAGAGACCTTCACACTGCCAAGAGCCACCAACACATACCCTAGAGAGTGGAGTAAAGGGAGATCACCAAGAAGAATTCACAGGCAGAAGCCACCAGCTATCAAAGGGTTTCACCAGTCAGTCACAGGATGTGGCTGAATATGCAAAGGATTTCACAGCAGCCTGGTGATTCTGACATTCAAACAGTTCGTGTTCTTTCACGACCAGGAATTCTGGTCGCCTTGTGACCCCATACTTTGGGACTCCAGTGCCAGTCAATGGACAGAGCGATTCATATCTTCGCTGTTTGTGAGCTATTTGCAACTCAAGAAACAGACTGGCCATTCTCACTCTAGGATCATTTCTAGATCATTTCTAACTCCAGGACTTCTCTCTGCTTCTAACTAGTCTGAGAGCTTTTCAGACATTTGCAGAGAGAAAGATTACTCACCCTTGGTAAGTACAGACCAAGATGACATAGAAAAACCTACAGATCTTTGATGGCCCTAGTCTGAAGATGAGTTAATGCCTCTCCTTTGACTCTCCATCTTGGTTTTGAACAACTTCTAGTCATCACAAAGCACATGGAAGTTATTTCTGGTATTCACCTAAGACAATAACCCATGAACATTCATCACTAGAGCTCTCCGGAACTTCCGCAGCCAATAACATGAATCCTTCCCATCTAACAATGTAAAACACTTTTGCCAGCTCTGGGTTATTATTTCTTTCTGTGAATAAAATACTACAAAGAAGCAGCACCGTCATCAGAACATGTACCATGTCAACACTACAGTAGTTCCTGACCGTTGACCAGTAGAGGCATACCACATGAGACATGAATGCGCTGTACCACTTACCATTCTTCCTTTCACTGAGTGGAGGAAGGTTGGGATTCCGGCCATGATGGATGTTCAGGGTCAGCTCGGGCTGCAAGGAGAGCTCCTGCAGCTCATTGGCAACAGCTTCGCTCTGAGGGCTGGGGGCCGCCGAAAGTGACACCAGCACTGGCTCATCGTCATTTTCGCCAGCCCCTCCTCCGTCCAGCCCATTTCCAGCAATGACGGAAGGGGGCAGGCACACCACACCGGAGAAATCCACTTTGGCTTTGTGATGGCAACCTGCAAGAGGGACCAAAAAAAGTAAATCTTGTACTAGAGAGACTTAATCCTTATCTCCAATGCATCATGGTGTCTTCACGTTCAAGAGCAACATGTTCTTTATTGCCATATTTGTGTTATCATTATCAATTCAAATCTAACTAGTGATTGAAATTTGCTAAGCTCACCAGTTTATAAACTTGCATCACCCTCCAACAGGGTCACCGCAGAGACTGCTGATGAAACTACTGGTTATCATCATTTTCTTTAAAACTTATGAGAACATTCTCAACTTCTGGTACTTTAAAAACGCCAATTTTCAGAAGGCTAGGAGGGTAATCAGCATGATTTGAGTCGTTTACCATACTCTATGCTTCCAGTGAAGTCAGCTTATTGAGAATTTTGCTGAACTCTTCATTACTCTCCCTGTCTTATACCAACATGTGGTTTTAAAAGGACAACTGTCAATTTGAGATAGAGTCAGCTAATGTAATCCTACATAGTAAACCTGGAAGGACAGATGAGTGCAGCAGGCAAAGATTTTCAAGTGAAATAATTTACAGTTCAACAAATAATTCTCTTGACATGTATCAAGCAAGACGTTTTTCAGAGGCTAACCTTCAGCTTCAAGAAAGAGGCATGTAGACTTAGCTGCAGAATAGTAAAAACCCACAGGATAGCCCTAATCCAGAAATCATTCAGAATGCATAAATGCAGTGCAAAGTTCTTAATAATATAGTTTTCTTATTAAGTATTCCGCACTTAACACTCACATTTAACCTGAATGAGTGTGACAACATTCAACAGATGATAAAGTAGCTCAAATAGTTGTTACCCATTTCCATTTTGTTTAATGAGGCTCCAATATCTTGGTTCACATTTTCTTTTCTACTTCAGTCAGTTACTAATGTTTGCTCTGCGCTCTGCAGACCAAAGTTTTAAGCGGCAGTACTTTTTTCTTCAAAAACATGTTCAGTGTACGTTCAAGGCAACAATAAGAATTACTGGCAATGAATACACACTATTTCATCCATGTTGTCACACATTCATTCCCAGGACCCCATGTCATGATCTGAAGAGAAACAGGGAAAAGAAGGGTGGAGGAGAAAAAAAAAAAAGAAAATGACAAAAAACACCAACTGAAATTGGTGCTTGTTCTAAGAAAACAAATGAAACTGAGCCAAAGCTTACTGCCATATGAAGTATTTACTTTTACTTCAGTTACAATTTGGCTAGAATGCGCCTGCCCCCTCCTTGATATATTTCCTGTCCAAAACAAATATCACTCATATCCATTTGAAAGCAAATTTTGACAGTAATATGCAAGAAAGAACTGGAATTGTGCCCTTTCATTTATTTACAGTGGGTAAAGAAAGTCTAGAAATACATATATACACACACCCTTACACCACAGACTTAGTCTTTGTTTGGTAAGCTATAGGATTCCTGGCTGGAAAGAGTTAAACTGTGACCAATATAATTGGCCTTAGGCCCTTGTCCCTGTAGTGATGTGAGGCCTGTGCAAGGGGGCTAAAAGGAAGAGTAGTTGCTCAGCTGCAAGTCTGGCTGGTAAGGACTGCTTTCAGTTGAGGAAAAATGCTCGGCTGAACCCCAAGCCAATCTGCTTTCTTGAAGCAGATGCACTGGAGCCATTACATTTTTTCTAGTGATGTTACCCAACCACCAATGGGTACATGAGAACACAGGTGCAGCCAACCTGAATGAACTGACTGATGACAGAGATATCTAACCCCATCAAACAATGGTTTGGAATGGCAGGAGAGTCAACCTACTCTTCTCAATCCATCCTAGAACAGAGAAAAAAAAAAGTTCCTTCCTCCTTTCTCTAAGGGAACAAGAGCTTGAAATATAACATAAGATCTGCCTAGGCTACGAAAACAGGAAATGTACTTGGAAACTTCTGACACCTTGGATTTTCTTTTAAGCAGGAATTCATAACCATCATAAACTAGGCAAACTGCATTTCAAACATCATTTTAACAAGAGTATTTTAAAATAGAATCTATTTTCCTAACCTAGGTACTTTCACATTAGCCAGGCCACTGAAATTATATCCTTTATTTTAAAGCACAGCACCAAGCTACAGCAAAAGCAGTCTAGCTTAGCCCAGCCACAGCAGCGAGTGGGACAGGAAGAGATCAGTACTCACACATCAGCTTGCCATGTAACCCAGAGCAACACTATACCAAGTGGATTAACTGAGATTGGGATAATAAACCCTCTGGGTTCCCCTAATAAATCATCCAGCAGAATTTCAGCACTGTTACAAGGGTTGGATTATTACAAAGGAGTTGCACCTTGACCTGCAGGTTTCCTAACTAATACAACAGATGACACAGATGGAAGGTATCTTCTTGTTAACCCTAGTTGCCATGTCATTCAGTGTCTGTGCCACATCAAAAGTAGCTCGGCAAACAATACTAGCAAAGCCAGGGTGTCTGGGGCTCTGGTTCCCCAAGCATTCCTTTGGCAGAAAGGCCCTTGTCTCCCCTTTCCTGGGCATTCATTCTTGTCCCACCAGCATGCCCTCCTTGCTTCCAATAGAGCTGCTTGTACACACAGCCACACAGAAAACCAGATCAGGAAGCTGATACAGCTGAATTTTCCCGAGTTATTTTTCAGCTGGATCAATTCGTCCATGAGTGCCACGGTTGCACCAGCACAGTACAGGGGAGCAGAGCTGCTTAAGGCAGCTCAAGCAGCTCTGTCACAAAATGCAAAAATCAGTCTGATTCTGTGCAACTCAAACATCCTGGACAATGACCATATTTCTTCAGGTACAGTTGCAGTTCAAATGAAACTGCACTGAAATGAACCATTACATCCACTAAGACATTTTGCCTCCTCCTTCGCTCGCTTTCCCTATCATTTCAGGCCAGCACAGGCATCTACAATGACACATGATGAACTGCTGAGAAAGCTGATCAGGTGTAAAAGTCAGATATTTGGTTTCTTCCAGGTAAATCAGGTCCCTGGTGCAGTATATGTCTTGCAGCCACTTCAACGCTTGTGCCAGCACAATGCAGGGGCAGAATCTATTTACATTATTAATACTTCCAAACATCTAGCCACTACCTAAGGGAAAGGGAACTTTTTTCAGAGCAATGCCCAGTTTTAATACGCAACATATCTCCACTTAAAAAAATAAAAAATAAAAACAATAATAATAAAAAAGCAAAATCAGTACAGCTTCAAATCACCTCCTAAAAGGAAAGGAAGGAACAAGTGGTTTATTTAGGCTTTCTGTATAGAACTTGGTGCAAGGCTTCAAACATCTTATGGTGATAGTTCCTAAACTCTGGTCCACAAGACAAGCTCTAATTGGGTCAATTTAATTTTAGTGTTTTCAATTAAAAATCTGATGAGGGCACATATGGATTTGGAAGAAACTTTGAGGATTTACAATCATCATTATTTGGAAAACACTGATATCCTGTAAAAGACAGAGTCCTTTTCTGTAACCAAAAGCAAAGCTCTTTTTAGACTTCTCAGAGAGTTATACCACTCTGTAAGTGTCATTGTAGAATGAATCAGCTATGCACATTAATATTTAGAACCTAATTAAAATTTTAAAATGTTTGTTTGCCTGTCATTTTTAAACATGCCAGAAACTTTCCCACAGAGAAATGTACCATAGCATGAAGATATTTAAATGACTCATACAGAAACGGATGGACAGTCTTAAGAGCAAGGATTTATAACCAGTAAGGGTTTCAGGGTGAGCGCCCTCAAGGATTTGTATCTGTTGCCCAACCAGATGAAAGCTTCCTATCATGGCATTTTTCTACTTTCGGGCCAGCTGCTTCTGGAACAAGAGAGGTTGTAATCCCACAGATGTTCTACAGCAGCAGCAACAGTTTAAGCAGCCCTCATCTTCTCCATTATCCAGCTGCTCATTCCTGTCCATATACTGCCCCTTCTTCAACCAGCTGAAATGTCTGTGTGCAGTCATGCAATGAACTAGACTAGGGAATCGATTCAAATGAAAAACAACCATTTTTCCTGGGTTACTAGTCAGCAAAATCAGTTCCCCCACCCAGTCCATTGCCAACTACACACATAGCTGTGTCGCCATAATGCAGGGCAGGAAAAAGCTGTTAGGAGCCAGGAGTGCTTAAATTACACTGCTATAAACCACAAAACCACTGCCTCAACAATACAAGCGTGGACCCAGGACCCAGCGCTAGGGAAAAGATGGAGTTGCTCAAAAGAAACATTAGACATCACTCCCGAATACTGTCAAACTTCAATTTCAGACAGACGAACACAGCAGAGTCAATTTCGAGCAAGCTGTAAGATTAAGAATCATAGCCAGTAAGAAATTTTGGAGAAAGTTATCTTTATGAAATCTGCAAATTACAAAGGTTAAGTTGCTCTACAGCTACTACGTGGTAGCTCTCTAGGTGTGTTCTCTTTCATCTCAACACCATATCACAGTCAATGCGAGGTAAGTATGATTAGCTTACCCCTTGGTTAAAAAAAAAAAAAAAAAAAGTGTTCTACCACATGACAAAACTACATATATAAACTTCTCATAAAGCTGCTCATCCAGAATCCCCCAAGGACCTGAGAGATGTAAGGGAAACATAAGAGGCAGACGAGTGTAGTATTAAAACCTGTCTGACCTGCAATAAGCCAGTTTATGGAGCTAAGTGAAAGAAAATTTTTTGGGGGGAGGGAAGGAGAATAAGGGGGGTAGAATTAGCTTTCTGCCAGTTTAGCTCCATTAATCATCCCATCATAAAGCCAGACAAGAACCAAGGCTGGCACTAGGAAGCAAAAGAGGCATGCATCCAGGACTGCCCTTTTTGGCAAGAGCTAGCTCTTAGATCAACTTAGCTGTATCATAAGATCACATCCTCTAGTTAGGCACTGAAGTGGCACTGGCAACAAAAAAAATGGTCCAGCCTGCTCATTCCTTGCCTCCTGTGGGCCAGCACAAGCTGAACCAGATCAAGGAGCTGATCCGGGTTAAATTTAACCTGCACACACACACAAATTGCTACTTTTAATCTGCATCAGTTCCTGATCTGACATTTGGGCTAGCATAAGGGCAAATGAGGTACAAGGAAAGAAACAAGAAATCGGGAGGACTACTTTTTATAGGAGCGTCAGCTTAAAGCGTTTATGGAACTACAACCCAGACATCGTTACGCAGTTTCCCTCTCCAATATTCATGTTGGACATGGTCCTGTGCATTAGACTTCCCTTGACCTTAGCAATATTCACATACTCATGGTATAACAAAGATCTTGAAAATGAGTATTTAAATGAGTCAAAGAACAGTAAGAGCTTCCCTAACATGAACCCTCCATAACCAGAGTAAAACTTCTAAAACAAAAGGAAATAAATAAATAAATAGAAATCAGGGAGGCACAGAAAAAGAAAGAAGAATCCACAGCACAATTCCAAAGCAAACAAGGATACCTCTATAAACAGCTTTCCCTGTTCTTCTCTCCTTCAAATCTTGTTTGCATTTTGGGGGCTGAGTTGCCAGGGTAATAGCAATTTCCTATCAATTTAAGAATTGCTAAGCAACCTGCAGCAGCTAACAGCAACAGCATGTGTGTGCAGCTGGGCTATTTTGAGAAGACAGGATTTTTTTATTATTATTTTAAACCTAAGAGCAGCCTTCTGTTAAATGACTATGCCAGCTGGGATCATCCAGCCAAAAGAAGAGATAATCTTAGGGCAAAGTGGCTTTAAGTGAATGAATCTTTGAAATTAATGAGCAAACAGGAAGAGAATGCCATGTCATGCCCAAAGGCAACGCTACCCGCAGGTCATCGTGAAAGAACAACCCAGGAGAAGTGAAGTC